AAAAAAAAAAAAAAAAAGACTGAAATAATGTATGACTTATAATGCTAACATTCATTATTTTGTTACTGTGAACAAATGCTACTTTTCAAAAGTCCAAATATTGAAAAATATCTCTTAATTTTCCAATATGATTATAATGAATTTAACATTTATTGAATAATTACTATGTGTCTCAGGTCCTGAGCTGGAAGCTTTTACAGGGTATCTCACTCTTAATAATAATACTATGAGAGATACTATCATCATCTGTATTTCACACATAAGTAAACTTAAACAGTTTAACACATTACTTAAGATTAAACAATTAGTAAATAGCAAGGCTGGTGCCCTGCTATATGTCTTCAGACTTTGCATTTTTAATGTGATGATTATTTTTTTTTCTTTTTGAGAGAGTCTTACTTTGTCACCCTCAATAGAGTGCTGTGGTAGCATAAAGCTTACAGCCTCTTAGGCTCAAGCGAGAGCTTCTCTTGCCTAGCCTCCTAAGTAGCTGGGATTGTAGGTGCCTGCCACAACACCCAGCTATTTTTTTTAGAGATAGGGTCTGGCTCTTGCTTGGGGGGTCTTGAACCTGTGAGCTCAGGCAATCCACTTGCCTCAACCTTCCAGAGTGCTGAGATTAGCCCGGCCTTGTGATGACTATTATTATGCTGATTATTTTAAAAACTGGACAAAATCAACTTTTAATTAATTAAGAAGATAACACACTAAGCTTACTTCACTAAGAACAGCTGGCTGGGGACAGAATAATGGAGGAGCTGGAAGGTACAAGCCGACCGGAACTAAGCCCCACAGTCTCTTACTGAAGTCCTTAGCAGAGTCTATCAGAAGCTGAAATGTGTCCGAAAGAATATCTGCATCAGCCATAACTGATGCTTTCAGTACTTCTTGCACTGAACCAAATAGCAAATTTGCATCTTCCTCTTCCATGGGATCTAGCAAATACAAAATTTGATAAAAGAGTTAAAAGTCATATTAAACTTTTTATCCTATTTTGTAGAATAAAATTTTAATCTAAAAAAGTTGACTGTCAGCAGGAAAATACTGGTTACCTACAAAACATCCAGACTTATGAACAGAAATTTATGAACTGTCCTGTTATTTAAAGATTACAGGGAATCAAAGCATGAAAGTTTTTTCCAGAATTAGATATTGTAGTAACAACTATATAATAAAAATATTCCTGGAATGTAGTTCTGAGTCAAAAAATAATAGTAATTGAAAAGATACTAATGTGAAAAAGAATGTCAAGAAAGACACCAAAATAATATCACTATATTATATAAAAGCAGAGAGTGTATTTTTTTCCCTTTTTAAAAAAAATAGTCCATGCTAATACTTTGTAATATGAAAGTTAATAGAAGTGACTTATAAAGTTAAGAAAATGAAAAATACAAAATATACATAAATATTCAGTTATATAAATATCTGTATATATGTGAACATGTCTCAGAAGGCAAAACACAAGGAGATGCAAGTGGTAGAAATGGAGACAGAGTGTCTCTCTATTCTGAAATATTTTAAGCATGCTGCATAGACTATGACGAACAGTCATTTACTGACTTCCTATCCTTGTCTGATATTAACATTTTTGCTATATTCAATTTAGGAAGCTACTGTCCAGAATTTGGTACAGATATATTGGAATTCCAATTAGACATCCATTGTCTTTCTGTTCTATATACAAGGCTTAGCCTCTCCTTCATATTTTTCAACTATTTTTAAAGATTTTATATATATATTTATCTTTATCTCTCTGTATTTTGTAGTCATATATAGCACAGATTAATCTTCTAGGTCACTAATTCATTCTTAACCTGGTCTAATAACTTTAAACATCTGTTGAGCTTTATGTTTTAAAATCAGATTTGTTGAGACATAATTTACATAAAATACAATTTACCCTTTTTAAAGTATACAGTTTGATAAATTTTAAGAAAATCCATATAGGCCTATTAGAACATTTTCATTACTCCAAAAAAGTTCTCTTACGTTCCTTTATTATCAATTCTTCCCCCCACCCCCACAAAGGTAACCACTGATCTGTTTCCTGCTTCTATAGTTTTATTTTTTATAGAACGCCACACTGATGGAACCATACAATACACAGTCTGTTTCTGACTCCTTTTGTTTAGCGTAATGGTCCCACAATTCCTCGATGTTACCATGCTATCAGTTTGTTCCTCTTTGTTGTTGCTCCATTTTACAGACATATTGCAATTTGTTTCTCCATTCACCAGTTGATGAATATTAGCCTATTTTTTGCTATTATAAAAAAGCAGCTATGAGCAGTCATGTATGGTTCTTGAGTGAACCTATGTTTTCGTTTCTTTTAGGTAATATTTAGGAGTGAATTCCTTTGAGATTTTTGTTTTTTTTCTTTTTTGAGATGTCTTACTCTATTGCCCAGGGTAGAGTGCCATGGTATCAGACTAGCTCACAGCACCCACAAATGCCTGGATTCAAGTGATTCTCTTGCCTCAGCCTTTCAAGTACTTGCCTGATGAATTTTTCTGTTTTTAGTAGAGACAGGGTCTCAGTCTTACTCAGGCTAGTCTCAAATTCTTGAGCTCAAGGGATCCTCCCACTTTAGCCTCCCATAATGCCAGAATTACAGTCATGGCCGCCTTTGAGGTTTTTTTTTGAGACAGAGCCTCAAGCTGTCCCCCTGGGTAGAGTGCTATGGCATCACAGCTCACAGCAACCTCCAACTCCTGGGTTCAAGCGAGTCTCCTGCCTCTGCTTCCCAAGTAGCTGGGACCATAGGCACCCGCCACAACGCCTGGCTATTTTTTGGTTGCAGCCGTCACTGTTGTTTTGGCAGGCCTGGGCTGAATTCGAACCCACCACCTTAGGTGTATGTGGCTGGCGCCTTAGCCACTTGAGCCACAGGTGCCGAGCCCCACCTTTGAGTTTTTATTTGCTCTTTGTTTCTTAACTCTGTGGCAGAGTTTTCAGAAAACAATGTAATGTCAGAACTTCAAAGTTCAGATTTGGTATTTTTTTAGTCCCTTTCTTAAAATTTAACTTTCATATAATAACATTATCTCTTCATCAATTAAAAAAAACTGCACAGAAAAATTTCAAAGAAAAGCTTATACTTAGATTCCAAGTATTATGAGTTCTCTCAAGAAAAAGTAATAATTTTAGGAATCTAGAGCTATTAGTCTCACTTCTTAATGCCATAAACACTAAAGGAAACAAAAGGGCCCCACAGTTGTCCTGGTTTTACCATTCAGTATACAATTTTAAATAACTGATTAAATTAAATTTTGTTTAAATTTCTTTATCTGCAAAACATAAAACTTTTATAGGATTCCTAGGTAAAAGAATATAATACATTTAATATTACATTATTTTTAATTTTTTAATACTAACTTTGAAGTTTTCAAGTAAAAAAAAAATCCATGATTTATGAACAATGTAAGAGTTGAACTAAACACTTATAAGTACCCTTCTAGGTTTGAGATTCTATAAATTTATGGCTGCAAAAGAAAATTACCCAAATAAGGCAAAATATGATTAGCATAAAATTAGGTATAGAAAATCATAAAATCACTTAGTTACTAATATCTGTCTTTTGAGCTGATTATCAATCCTGAATGTTCCCATGATTCATTACAAAATACCATACTTTTATTTGTGACAAGTTTATTTCAAAGTGTTAATACATTTGTTGATATTTATAAGCTTTTTTTTTTTTTTTTTTTTTTGAGATAGAGCCTCAAGCTATCCCCCTGGGTAGAGTGCCATGGCATCATGCTCACAGCAACCTCCAACTTTTGGGCTCAAGCGAGTCTCCTGCCTCAGCCTCCCAAGTGGCTAGGACTACGGGTGCCCGCCACAACGCCTGGCCATTTTTTTTTTTTTTTGGTTGCAGCCATCATTGTTGTTTGGCAGGCCCGGGCTGGGGATTCGAACCCGCCACCTTAGGTGTATGTGGCTGGCGCCTTAGCTGCTTGAGCCACAGGTGCCGAGCCGATATTTATAAGCTTTTAAAAATATTATTAAGTTTATATTAACCTGATATATGTGTCAAATGTTATATAGATAACATACCTGTAAATTGTTTATATTTAGAGCCCATTTCATTTTTTGCTTCTAAAGAAGCTGGCTGACCTAAAAAACACTGTAGTTTTTCCTGGAAAATCTGTGCTGGAGTTACAGTTAATGGTAGATGAAGACCTTTTTTCTTGGACCTGAAATGATATAAAAATTAAAAAAATGAATCTAAATCTTTGAAAGCTGGAAAAAATTCACACATCAAGAATTAAACATAAAATTTTAAGAAACAGAATTCACTTTTTAAAATTATTCTATATTTTAGGAAAATATTGAAGCAAATACTATTTTAAGTGGGCCTCCACAATTATGATCCTAATATATTTCCCCACTCTTATTTCCAACTGTTACCATAAATATGTACTCTGTCCAAATGGAAACAAACTTGTGTTTTACCAAATTCCTCAGTAAAACATGCTTGGAGTGTTTTCTCTTCCTACAGCTACTCAATTTAAGACTGCCAATTTGTTAATGCCCATCTCAATGGTATCGTCTACATAAAGTATTTCCTGTCTTTCTCCCACTTGAAATTATCACTCTCCCCAATGAACCACTGGTACTTTTCTTACTATACTATGTAGGTTACAATAATATTTTGTCCTATTTTCTTACTGTTTTTTCTTTTAAGAGACAACATCTCACTCTGTGACCTAGGCCAGAGTGTAGTGGCATGATCTTAGAGATCTTAGCTCACTATAGCCTCAAACTCTTGAGCTCAAGCAATTTTCCCACCATATCCTCCCAAGTAGTTAGTAGTGAGGACTACAGGTATACGCCACTATGCTCAGCTAATTTATTTTTATTTTATTTTTTATTTTTTTGTAGAGAAAAGGTCTTGCTATACTGCCCAGGTTCATCTTGAACTACTGGTCCCAAGTGATCCTCCCACCTCTAACCTCCCAAACCACTGGGATTACAGACATTAGCCACCATGCCTTGCCTATTTTCTCTATTAAAGTATAGAAACTATGTGTCATTGAAGTTTATATCACCAAAATACCTTGCACAGAGTTTGTAACACAGCAGTTAACAAATAAATCTATGTTGAATTATTGTAATGAAAAATATAGAAAAGACAACAATGCCACAAAATTTAGAAAAGTTAAACTCAGAGATTAATTAGTTTAAAATGCAAATCGTATCTGGATAAACTCTCCCATTGACTATAAGCCCTTTAAGGGCATTACTAACAGATTCATGTGCTAAATAAACATTTTAACACAAATAAATAAGCCATTGAACTGCCCAACACAGTAACCACTAACCACCTGTGGCTACTGAAACTCAAATTTATTAAAATTAAATTGAAAATTCAATTCCTTGGTCTCACTGGCCACATTTCACTAGTTACTTACGGTTATTGGCACATATTGGGCAACACATAAACATTTCTATCACTGAAGAAGGCTCTAGCACATAATACTAAACTAATGCTTCCATATAATATATAAACACCAGCAGTAATAAGAGAAATAGAAAATACTTTAGATGGTACTATCACACTATATCTTAAGTTTGATAAGAATACAAACCTTACATAATTGCTATCATGTTTACAGAACAGCTGGAATGCCACACCAATTGAAACGGATGTCTTCCAGTCTCCAAGTTTATGGGCCAACCATACAGCCTCTGGAACCAGGCCGCCAATAAGTAATAATTCAAGTGCATATTCAACTGTCCACACATTAGACAGATTCTGATCTCTAACAACACTGGCCACCTTAGAGTGCTGCAGAGGAATTAGTCTAAGGGAATGATCTGACAATAAATGAAAGGAAATGGATATAGTTACATATATTCAAAACTCATGCTTCCTTACATAGGCATATTTATTCCTTCAATTACTATTTTCTACACAAAACCACAAGGAAGATACATACAACATGGGCTAAAGTAATACTAAACATGCTCTAGAACAGTTTTTTAACACTGAAGAATGTGCCTCATTAGTGGGTCATGAAACAAATGCCTGGTTCTTTAAAAAATGAAAGAGAACAGAGGAAAAAAAGAACAGAAAGTACCAGAGTGAATGATACAAAATAAAGGTAAATACTGTTAAATGAAAAATTTGTGTCAGATAACATGCACATACATATAAAAACATTTATATAATCTGGGTCACAATGTACAGTTTATTACTGCAGGTTGCTTGGATATATATGCCTGTATCTTGTACTAGATTATTTCATTTGGAAAGCACAGGCTAAATTTTACCTGAATTTGCACTATCCATAAAGTCATATAATAAAAAACTAATTTGAGGTAATACTCAAGCATATTAAGTGTTCAATACATTAGTATTCATTAGAAAGTAGAAAAGTGTAATTTTCACTAATCCTAACTAAATGACAAGATTCCAGTATGGCCTGAAATTTAATGCAAAACAGTAATATCCTTCCTTTTATACCTTTCCCTAAATTGAAATAACTTGATAAAGTACCTTGAAAATATGATAGAAATGTTGTTTTAAAAATCTATGTTGGCCAAGGCAGGTAGATTGCCTGAGCTCATGGGTTCGAGACTAGGCTGAGCAAGAGCAAGACCCCCATCTCTAAAAATAGCCAGGTATTGATTGTGGCAGGCACCTGTAGTCCCAGCTACTCTGGAGGCTAAGGCAAGAGAATCTCTTGAGCCCAAGAATACGAGGTTATTGTGAGCTATGATGCCAGAGCACTCTACTATGGGCAATAAGTGAGGACTGTGCCACCACCCCCCCAAAAAAAAAAATGTACATTGGCCAGGTGCAGCAGCTCATGCCTATAATTCTAGCATTCTGGGACGCCAAGACAGGTGGATGGCTTGAGCTCTGGAGTTGGAGACCTGAGCAAGAATGAGACCCCATCTCTACAAATAAGGGACTAGTTGGGTTTCGTGGTGGGTGCCTAGTTTCAACTACTTAGGAGCCTGAGGCAAGAGGATCATTTTAGCCCAAGAGTTTGAAATTGCTGTGAGCTATGATGCCATAGTACTCTACTCAGGGCAACAGAGTGGGACTTTGCCTCAAAAAAAAATCTGGCTCAGCGCTCGTAGCTCAATTGTTAGGGGACCAGCAACATGCACTGGGGTTGGTGGGTTCGAACCTGGCCAAGGCCTGCTGAACAATGACAACTGCAACAAAAAAATAGCTGGGTATTGTGGTGGGCACCTGTAGTCTCAGCTACTTGGGAGGCTGAGGCAAGAGAATTAGCTTAAGCCCAAGAGTTTGAGGTTGCTATGAGCTGTGATACCATAGCACTCTACTGAGGGCAGCACAGTGAGACTCTGTCTCAAAAAAAAAAAAAAGGCTCAGAGCCTGTGGCTCAAGTGGCTAAGGTGCCAGCCACATACACCTAAGGTGGTGGGTTCAAATCCATCCTGGACCCGCCAAACAACAATGACAGCTGCAACCAAAAAATAGCCGGGCATTGTGGCGGGCGCCTGTGGTCCCAGCTACTTGGGAGGCGGAGGCAGGAAACTCGCTTGAGCCCAGGAGTTGGAGGTTGCTGTGAGCTGTGAAGCCACAGCACTCTACCCAGGGGGACAGCTTGTGGCTCTGTCTCAAAAAAAAAAAAAAAAATGTGAGTCTTAGAAGAAATCGTTAGATCAGAGAAAGGAGCAGACTATGTTCAGAGAGAAAAGGCAGGGAGGGGCAGTTGCATCTAAAGTACAATTAAGTATAACAGGACATGGTGGAAGGAGACAGGGAAGCTGTCTAGATCCTGGAAGAAAGTTGAGGCACCTGTTTCTCCCAGAACCACCTTCGCTTTTTTCAGAAAAGGAACCCTAGAGAATTTCTCTTCTGATTATACCTCATGCACATAGTGTTCTGGAGACCTAGAACTTCCTGAAGACCCCCATGCAAGACCAGAGAACACTGCAGAGGAAGCAGCCCAGCTGGGGAGATAGTCCACCACTCCTACCCACATCCTCAATTACAGAACAAGAGGCTGAACACATAGTTCGAAATTCATAGTTGTATGATTGATTACATTTGCTGGCCACTTGTTGCTACCTCCATTAAACTTCTAATTACATTATAACTTGTATTACTCTAGCCTACCTGTGCCTTGTACATAAGTATCAGTTCATGTCATCTTTTTATCTTAAAGGCCTCCAATAACTTCCCATTATACTTAAAATAAAATTCAGATTCCTTACCATGGCTTACATTATCTGTCTCCTTTTCTGACTGCATCTCAAGTTGCTCTTTGCCTCATCCCCTAATTTACAGACATACCAGTCTTAGTTTCTCAAGCATATCAAGCTCATTATTGCCCTGGAGCTTCTGCATTAGCTCAGTTTAGAATGCTCTGTGCCCTGATGTATAACAAGACTAGCTCTTTTTTGTTATTAAGAGTTCAACCTAAATTTCACTCTTCAGAGAGTTCCTCCTGGAATTCCCAATCTAAAAAAGCCACTCAGTCACACTGCATTTCTTTATTTTAATTCCCTCCATAACAATTAATTATCACCATTTGATATATTTTACTTTTGTATTCATTTGTTTGTCTGTCTCAACCTATCAGATGTAAACACCATAAAGAATAAGTTCTTTATCTGTTTTGTTCATGGCAGTTAGAATAAGTAAGTCCATTTCAGATGTCAAAAAACAAAACAACAAATGTTTTCATACTATCAATTTCACATGATGCAACGTAACACCTAGAGCACTGATTGGCATGTAGCAGGAACTAAATAAAAATTGGTAGAACATTGTTGAGTGTGGTACTGCATGCTTGTATACCCAGCTACTTGGGAGGCTGAGGTGAGAGGATCATTTCAGCCAGGAGATCAAGTCCAACCTAGGAAACACAGTGAGACACTATCTCAAAAAAAAAAAAAAAAAAAAATTAGAATGTCATAGAAATGTGAACATGTTTGTCTCCATGAAGGCATGGCAGTTATCTAGCATAGGATTAGGTGTCTTTTGACCATATTAGTGAAATTATTAAATTTTAAAGTAAATGGTCCAAGTAAAATTATAAAAGTAAATTGTCTAAATAAAATTAAATTCTAAATTAGCAGACTCAAAATTTGTTAAATTTCCACATGTTTAAATAAATGAATGTGGCAGCTCTTTTACATTATAAATGGAAGCTTTAGGTTGGTCAAAGTACAGTGGTGTTTACAACTAACTGATCATAACCAGTTACACATTTTGTTCTTTCTACTGGAATAGCCAACAGAAAAAAATTTTAGCAATCTTTATAAATATCAATTTGCCAAAATTTTTTAATAAAAAATTCCTTATTTAATAAAAACAAATCTAAGCAATTATCTCTTTCAGATTCTATTCCTTTGGAAATAGTCACTGAGCATCTCCTATCTGTCAGGTACTATGCTAAAACAGTACCATCTCCATGCAATAATGATTTCTATATGATTTTAAATATTTTATTATATACAAAGAGAAATGAAAAAATGACCTGTCTACCATATTACCTGTTTTAACATGAAGTGGAGGAAGAACATTCACATTGTGAGGTGGCAAAATGTAAAGCTGTTGATTGGTGAAATAGGCGGCCATGAAGCGAGCCATGGACTGCACGACTCTCAACGCTGCCTCGAGTTGAGCATCTCTAGTCAGCCCACGCTCACAGTGAGACATCTCCAGAACTGCAGAGTACAGCAGATGACCAAAAGAGAATCAGATTAAACTATCAAAAAGTAGTATTAAGTTCCCAACATTATGCAAGAAGAAAACTATAATTAACATTTTCTTCTGAGTATCAATGTCCTATACAAGCAAAGTTATAATAGGTATTCATACCTCTTGAAGACAACAAGAACAAAAGCAACTACCATTGACCTTTAAAAAGTACAGGTTTGGCTCGGTGCCGCAGCTCAGTGGTTAGGGCGCAGGCCACATACATCAGGGCTGGCTGGTGAGTTTGAATCTAGCCTGGTCCTGCTAAACAACGATGACAACTACAACAAAAAAAAAATAGCTGGGCATTGTGGCAGGCTACTTGGGAGGCTGAGGCAAGAGAATCGCTTAAGCCCAAGAGCTGGAGGTTGCTGTGAGTTGTGAGGCCACAGCACTCTACCGAGGGCAACATAGTGAAACTCTGTCTCAAAAACAAAACAAAACAAAACAAAAACTGAACTGCACTGATCCACTTTTATGCAAATTTTTTTCAATAAATATACTGTAAATATTTTGGGGGATTTTCAATAATTTGAAAAAACTTACAAACTACAGAAACTATAGAAATACAAAAATATTAAGAAAAAGGCATGTTGTTAATGCATAAAACAAATGTAGGTATTAGTCTACATTTTATCATGTATTATCATTACCATAAAATACACACATTAAAAAGTCAAAATTTATCAAAATTTACGCACACAAACAGACTGTACATGGTGCCATTTGCAGTCCAAGAGTAATGTAAGCAAACACAAAGATGTAGCATTAAATTAAAACTACATAAAATGAATTGTAGTACATACTATACTATTATAATAATTTGTATCTATCTCCTATTGCTATTGAATTAAGCTCAAAAGTTGTGAGTACCTGCTTGAAATGCCATATAAGGCTAGAAGCACAGTGGCTCACACCTACAATCCCAGCACTTTAGGAGGCCAAGGTGAGAAGATTGCTTGAAGCCAGGAGTTGTAGACCAGCCTGAGCAATAGTGGGAGACCCTATCTCTACAAAACATAGAAAACTCAGCTAGGCATGGTAGCCCATGCCTCAGTCCCAGCTACTCAGGAGGCTGAGGAAGAAAGATGGTCTAAGCCTAAGAGTCAGAGGTTGCAATGAACTATGATGATGCCACTCTAGACCCAGCAATAGAGTGCAACTCTATCAACAACAAAACATGCCATGTGATGCTAATCTTCTCCATATGAACAGTCTATCTCTTTCGTAAATATGTGTATTACAATAAAAAGTGATCTCCCGTGGTTCCCACATACTTTTCATTATGTGTATTACAATACCATAAACCTTGAGTAACATCATGGGACCTGTACAAAGTGCTGATAGTGGGCTGGGCGTGGTAGCTCATGTCTGCAACGTTCACTCTCTGGGAGGCTGAAGAGGATGAATTGCTTGAGCTCAGGAGTTCCAGAGCAGCCTGAATAAGAACAAGACCCTGTCTCTACTAAAAATAGAAAAACTAGCCAGGCATGGTGGTACACACCTATAGTTCCAGCTACTTGGGAGGCTAAGGCAGTAAGATCACTTGAGCCCAAGAGTTTGAGGTTGCTGTGAGCTATGATGATGCCACAGCACTCTACTCAGGGCAATGAAATGAAACTGACTCAAAAAAAAAAAAGTGCCAATAGTGATCTTGGGAGTAATCCCAAGAAGCAGAGAAAAGATGTTACAAGAAAAATCTGAGTTGTTTGGTATGTACTATATAGATTGAGGTCTGCAGCTACAATTGCCTGCTATTTCAGATGGGGGATTCATCTTATAAACAGACAATATAAACTTACAGTATCAATAAACACTGTAAGTACTGTAAATGTACTTTCTCTTTCTTATGATTTTATTTGTTTTAGTTTTAGTTTTATTTTGTTTTGAGACAGAGCCTCAAGCTGCCACCCAGGGTAGAGTGCCATAGCGTGACAGCTCACAGCAACCTCCAACTCCTGGGTTCAAGTGATTCTCCTGCCTCTGCCTCCCAAGTAGTTGGGACTACAAGCGCCCACCACAATGCCCAGCTATTATTTGGTTGTAGCCGTCATTATTGCCTGGGCTGGATTCGAACCCGCCAGCTCAGGTGTATGTGGCTGGCACCTTAGCAGCTTGAGCCACGGGCACTGAGCCTGTTTTTGTTTTTGTTTTGAGACTGACTCTCACTCCGTAGCCCTGTGTAGCATTTTATTTTCCCTATCTTACTTTAAGAATATAATATATAGTACATATACAAAAATATGCCTGAACCTACTGTTTATGTTATTGAGAAGGCTTCCCGTCAAAAGTAGGCTGTTGGCTGGGCGCAGTGGCTCATAGCTGTATCCTTGTACTCTGGGAGGCCAAGGTGGGTGGATTGCTTGAGCTCACAAGTTTGAGACCAGCCTAAGCAAAAGCAAGACCCCATCTGTACTAAAAATAGAAAAACTGAGGCAAGAGGACCAAGAGTTGGAGGTTGCTGTGAGCTATGACGCCATGGCACTCTGCTCAGGGCAACAGCTTGAGACTTTGTCTCAAAAGAAAAAAAAGTAGGCCATTATTTGGGGGAAGTCAAAAGTTAGACGTGAATTTTCATCTGTATAGGATTGACACTTCCAACTCCTGCATTGTTCAAGGGTCAACTATAGTTCATAATTACGAGCACATACACACACTTAGGAACTGTTTATAACTTTGACAGATTTATTTTTAAAATGGAGATGTTAATACAAAACAATCCAGCCATGATGGCCTTACAAGCTTAGTGTTTCGTTAGTTGTTTTCCCTTTTCCTTCCATTTTCATGTTTTTTAAAGAAAGACGTAGGACACACTACAAAAATAATAAAAAAAAACACCAAAATGGAGATTCATAATGCTGAGAATTAGAACTGAGCGTTCTAATATACCTGCATTAGCAATAAGTGGCTCTCTAACAGGAGTCCTCAAACTTTTTAAACAGGGAGCCAGTTCACTGTCCCTCAGACCGTTGGAGGGCCAGACTGCGGGCCCTGGGACGAGTCAGATGCTAAACAGGACAGACAGCCACGGCAGAAACACCCAGCAGGCCGGATAAATGTCCTCAATGGGCTGTAGTTTGAGGACGCCTGCTCTAGCATAAGATTCTTTGGGGATGAAGTGGCAAAAAGAATTTGTAGGTTGAAGAGAGACAGCTAAGATAAATAATACTGTTAACATTAATTTTTATGAAATTTATGGCCTAACAACAGAAAATTTTGGAATTATGTTCTACATATGTATGGACCATTTCTACTTTGTTCACTGTATAACTCTTACTCAGCACCTAGCAACTTTCCTCTCATATGTGGGTACTAGAAGGGTCTTGTTAATAAATGTCTGTTGGGTTATTTTTTGATAAAAGGTACATTAAGAAAATCTCATTAGCTTTCAAATAGTAGTCTTCTTTTGGTCACTATTATGTTTAGAAAAATAATACTATTTCTTCACATTCAAGTTAAAAATATGTGGGTAAGAATTTTTTTCTCCTGGGTAGAACTTACCGTAGGAATTACACAAAAGCAAGATTTCAACTAAGTTTTATCATGTAAAATTTATTATGCAAAATTCAGTTACACCTTAAAATAAGAAACAACCTGATTATAAAAGTTATTATCGCAGAGTAAAGCTGTTATCAACTTAGAGGTAAAGAAAAATTTTGAAAGGATAATTCTATATGGGATACAGTAATAATGTTAACAATAACAACTATTTTTATTATGAAATAAAAATTAGATTGTAACTATGATTTAATAAAGTAGGTATACATTAAGAGAATTAACAGCAGGCCTGACTGCTTGAAACAACTGCTTATAAGGTTGACCTTGGCTGGCAGCTGGGAACAGGCATTTTGGGAAAATTTCTACCACCCTAACCGATAAGAGTGGCTTGACAAGCCTGAATTGTTTGTATAAACGATGTGGTTTATGTCCAACATCTGTTTTCACTATGAGAGTGTAGAATTTTGGTATATGCTAGGTAAAATGAGTTTATATGACTGGGCTCCAATTATAAAGCCTAAGCACTGAGGTTCTAATGAGTTTCTCTAGTGGCCAATATCTCACATATGTTGTCATAACTCATCACTGGGGAAATTAGGGACATCCACTGTAACTCCACTGGGATAGAATCGATGGACACTTGTATCTGGTTTTCTCCAGACTTTACCTAAAGCACCTTTTCCTTCTGCTGATTTTGCTCTCTACCCTTTCACTGTGATAAGTCATAGCTATGAATATGTCTGTATGCTAAGTCCTATAAGTCCTTCTATTGTATCATAAAACTTGAGTGGTAGTCTTGGGAACCACAACCCAGTAAGTATATGTATAGTATATTATTAATAATCATCATTAAAAATTAAAACAAATGAATTGCTATAGGTTCAACTATCTTTGTTTTTGTTTTTTTTTTTTTTGAGATAGTCTCCCTTTGTCACCTTGGGTAGAGTGCAGTGGCACCATAGCTCACTGCAACCTCAAACTCTTGGGCTCAAATGATCCTCTTGCCTCAGCCTCCCGAGTAGATGGGATTACATGTGCCCACCATAATGCCTGGCTAAGGTTCAACTTATATTGAAAGTTAAATCACATGGCTCGGTGCCTGTGGCTCAAGCGGCTAAGGCGCCAGTCACATACACCAGAGCCGGCAGGTTCGAATCCAGCCCAGGCCCACCAAACAACAATGACGGCTGCAACCAAAAAATAGCCAGGTGTTGTGGTGGGCGCCTGTAGTCCCAGCTACTTGGGAGGTGGAGGCAGGAAAATCGCTTGAGCCCAGGACTTACAGGTTGCTGTGAATGCCACGGCACTCTACACAGGGCAACAGCTTCAGGCTCTGTCTTGAAAAAAAAAAAAAAAGTTAAATCACATAAAGACAGTATTTGTTAAAAAAAAAAAAATGAAGACTATCCAGTAATTTATTTATTTATTTATTTTTGAGACAGAATCTCACTATGTCATCCTTGGTAGAGTGCTGTGGCATCACCATTCACAGCAACCTCAAACTCTTGGGCTTAAGAGATTCTCTTGCCTTAGCCTCCTAGTAGCTGGGACTACAGGCACCTGCCACAACAATCGGCTATTTTTATTATTGTCATTGTTATTTTAGCAGCCCCTGGCCAGGTTCAAACCCACCAGCCCTGGTACATGTGGCTGGTACCTTAACCACTGAGCTACAGGCACCAAGCCAACTATCCAGTAATTTAAAAAGTCATATGGGACCAGGCACAGTGGCTCATGCCTATAATCCCAGAACACTGGGAGGCTAAGGTGGGAGATTTCTTGAGCTCTGAAGTTTGAGACAAGCCTGAGCAAGAGTGAGACCTCCATCTCTAAAAATAGCCAGGCATATGTAACAAAGCAGCTTCCTCTCTGTGATCTATTGAAAGTCAGCCCTCAACACAGAGTTTGTTAAAAAAAAAGAAAAAACTATAGCCAAGTGTAAAAATCCTTCATTCATACAGAGCTCATGGACCTTTCTGAAAGGCAATTTGACAACATGTATCAAAAGTGTTAAGCCATGGGTAGTCTCATCCAGTAACCTTATTTCTAAGAATTTATCCTAAAGAAATTATTAGTAAAATGCTCAGAAATATTTATGTACATTGAAGCATTATTTAAAATAGTAAATATGTAGCAAAAACCTACAATGTATAATAATTGGGAAAAGGCTCAATATATTTTTGTAAAAAATATTTGTTGAGGCGTCCATAGTTCAATGGTTAGAGCGCTGGCCCTGTGCACCAGGAGTGGTGGGTTTGAACCTGGCCCAGGCCTGCTAAACAAACAAACAAACAAACAAACAAATATATATATATATATATATACATATACATACATATATTTATTTATTTATTGGCATTGGAAAATATTCATCATCATAACATAATAACACTTGGGTCATTATGAAAGTTTTGGGATACACAAAAATTAAAAAAATGTAAAATCCACACAGATAGAAATAAATGAAGTCCTCCCAGCAACAACAGGCTGAGTAAGTTGAAACTTGCACAGTCAGAAAGGACACTATTGACTATTTCTTAGAAATGAAATAATGGACCATAACACAGTCTGTCTCAAAAACTTTTGTAGTGACCTATGTATTAACTTTTAAAAGGATGCAAAATAGGGCTAGCACAGTGATGGCACTGGGACGCTGAGGTGGGTGGATCCTTGAGCTCAAGAGTTTAAAGTTGCTGTGAACTATGACACCACAGCATTCAACCTCAGGGAGACAGAGTAAGAAGACTGTCTCAAAAAACAAAAAAAAATTTGCAAAATAGAATTTACAGCTTTGATAATACACATATACATATACACACACACGTGTCAAAAGGCTATAGGCAAAAAAGTAAACTTATAAGTGATTTTATTTTCTTTATACTTTTCCATATTTTCCAAATTGTCTAACAAGAACATGTATTACTTTCATAATAAACACAAAAATTTTAAAGAAGATAAAAATCAGAGTAAGAAATCTATACATTGTGGCTGAAACAATAAATGAACTAGGTATGAATTCCATTTAGGAAGTTCTGATTTGTTCGGCCTTTTAGACACATTCACATGTATAATATATACCTAATAGTCTACCACTCAAAGAAAACATGTGTTCATTCATATATATCTTTCCCTCTAGTTATTGCTTAATTTAAAAATACTTCTTCAAGGCCAAGCACGGTGGCTCACACAATCTTAGCATTCTGGGAGGCCAAGGCAGGTGGAGTGCTTGAGCTTAGGAGTTCTAGACCAGTCTGCCTGTCTCTACTAAAAATAGAAAAAGTAGCCAAGTGTCATAGTGGGTACCTGTAGTCCCAGCTACTGGGAAGGTTGAGGCAAGAGGATTGCCTGAGCCCAAGAGACTGATGTTGCTGTAAATGATAATGATGCCATGGCACTCTACCAAGGGTGACAAAGTAAGACTTTCTCTCAAAAAAACAAAAAAACAAAAAAACAAAAACAAACAAACAAAAAAACCTCTTTGAAAAGGCACTCCACATACTCTGCAATTTCTTAAACAGATTTAAAAAGACTCAGAATCCCTCAGAAAATGATTTCCATGGTATTACTAAACCACTTATGCAACAACTAAATAAAATATAAATACAGTAACGAAAAATACTTGGGGCTTAAATACTTGGGGCTCGGTGCTTATAGCTCAGCGGCTAGGGCAGCAGGCCACATACACTGGGGCTGGCATGTTCAAACCTGGCCTGGAGCCTGCCAAACAACAATGACAACTACAACGACAACCAAAAAAAAATAGCCAGGTGTTGTTCCAGGCACCGTAGTCCCAGCTACTTGAGCAGTTGAGGCAAGAAAATCACTTAAGCACAAGAGTTTGAGGTTGCTGTGAACTGTGATGCCACAACACTCTACCAAGGACGACTTAGTGAAACTGTGTCAAAAAAAAAACTTGGGTACTTGACAGTGTATTTAACAAATATGGCTATGAGAAAACATACTATCGGTTCAGCAGGTAAAGTGCTGTGCTGCTAAATCCTGAACATCCTGAGATAAAAAACCACTACCAAAAAAAACAAAAACAAAAACACCAACATGACTCTTGCTATTGAGAAACTGTCCAATATCCAACATATTAATATTATAACCTAGTCAGCAGAGAAGCTGAGCAACCAACTTTTATGTATAAGCAATTTCATGCTTAAACCTATAAATACAAATTACTAAGATTAAATAGGCTGAGCTTTAAAACACATACCTGAACAATCTTCATTTTCTTTCACAGGTAATTGGGACCATCTCAGTATTTCTCTTACCAGCTGATCACACAATCCTTGAGCATCATTTAAATTATAGCTATAGAGATAGCAGTATAAAAGAGAAAGATAATAGCGAATCTGATGAAAACATATTCTTCTTCCTCCTGAAATAAGAAAGAATTAAACTCATCTTAAAAGCATCTAAGCAAGAAAAGCTCTTCATTTACTGCTTAGTAGATAGAAGTGTGCATTTTGTGAAAATTCATCATGCTGTACATTCATGATATAAAACCTTTTCTGTATCTGTTTCCTATTATCAGTAAAAGATTTTTAAAACAAAGACCAGTAATATTTTGCTCTTTTTTGCTTTCTTTTATTTTTTTATTTCAGGTTAATGCAAGGGATTTATACCAGGTCACAATGTATGAATTTATTAGGTATAGTCCCTCTTATAGTTGTGTCCCAAATGTTTTTTTTTATTTTAAATTTTGAACAACTTTATTTCTTTCATCAGGCCCTAGAATAACTCAGATTTTACCCAAATTGAAATCCCATCATCTCAGCATTAAGCTCTAGTAATGAATTCTATCTCAAGTACATAAAATATGAAATAGAAGAAACATGCCACAAAACCCTGAAGGAACCATACATACATCAAACAGATGATCAAAAAGACTTCCTGAAGGAGAGGAAACAACTATTCAATAAGATAAGAGCCCTCTGAGTGGCGCCTGTGGCTCAGTGGGTAGGGCACAGGCCCCATATACCAAGGGTTGCAGGTTCGAACCTGGCCCCAGCCAGCCACAACAGCAATGACAACTGCAACAACAACAACAACAACAAAAAAGCTGGGCATTGTTGTGGGCATCTGTAGTCCCAGCTACTTGGGAGGCTGAGGCAAGAGAATCACTTAAGCCCAAGAGTTTGAGGTTGCTGTGAGCTATGATATCACAGCACTCTACCAAGGGCAACAAGTGAGACGCTGTAAAAAAAAAAAAAAAAAAGCCCCTGACAATTGCCTTTAAATATTTAAAGGGTCCTTTGACCAAAACTCTTATGCATTTTTCCTGAGTAAAAGAATTCCAATTTTATTTGGGGTTACAATGCTCTCAGATCACAATTTCTCATTAGACATAGTCGTGTGAAAATTTGATTAAATTCTGAACTAAGATAATATTGTATAGAACTTAAGTAGAAGAACTACTTAAAGGGAAGTAAACCAACTACTGTAGTCATTTTCTAGCCCTTCCTACTTTCCTCCGGTCTGTTGCCTTGAATATGGATGTGATGACTGGAGCTCCAGCAGCCATCTTAGCCCACTACCATGGCCTTAACATCAGAGGCAATGCACTAAGGATGGAATAGCAAAACCAAAGAAGCCTGGGTCCTTGATTATACTGTGAAAACACCAAATCAGCCCTGGACTGTTAATCTCTGGCTTCTTATTATAAGAGAAAGCCACTCCTTCTCTGTTGAAGTCACTACTACTTTCAGCCACGATTACAGAAGTCATTCCTAATGCCTACAACTAGAAATAGTATTAAATGGAATGTCCACAATGGAAATCATTATGAAAATTTTTCTTCATCCAGAACTTCCCATATCACTGAATGTCACTCTTCTTCATCCAGTTGAACAATACCAAAATCTGAGAATTACATTAGACTTCTTTCTTTGGATTTACTCCATCACATGTCCAGTTGATCAAACCTATTAATTATCTGTCTCCATTACTCTTCGCACTGCTTTGGTTCATCGCCTCCTCATCTAACTGATTTTCTTGCTTCTAGGTAAAACCAACATCCCTACACCATACTCTGCAATAGACTCTCCACAACTGTACGAAAGCAATCTTTCTTTCTTTTTTTTTTTTTTGAGACTCAGTCTCACTCTGTCACCCTAAGTAGAGTACCATGGTGACAGCTCATAGCAACCTCAAGCTCTTGGGCTCAAGTGATACCCTTGCCTCAGCCTCTTGAGTAGGTGGTAACCATAGATGTGTACCACTGTGCCTAGCTAGTTTTTCTGTTTTTAGTAAATACAAGTTCTCACTCTTGCTCAGGCTGGTCTGGAACTCCTGAGCGCAAGCACTCCACCCACCTTGGCCTCCCAGCATGCTAGGATTACAGGCATGAGCTACCACCACACATGGTCCTAAAGCAATCTTTCTAAATGGTCTATATAACATCATAGTATGTCTTAACTGATCCCACCGTCTTTGAAATAAAAAATCTTAATTCCCTGGCACTCCATATAAAACCCTCCTTCATCATCTGTTCTCCATCTGTCTTTCACCTTAGCTCACTCCCAGCATCCTGTCACCAATATTACAATATTACATAATCTAGTCCTTCTGAACTACTTACAGTTTTCCAAACTGCCAAGGTTTCACAGGCCTTTTTGTTTTTGGAATGCTTATCCATTCCTACTACCTTAATCGGCCAATTTCTACTCAACTTTAAACGTGAACCCCTCCAGCTTTTCCCCAGACTGATGCTTGCACTCTAGCCTCAGACTGTATTGAAATATTCTTTGGTGCTCCCTAAGCACCTACTATATACCATACAACATAATGAGCAAAGTCACTGTGGACAACTTGAGGGTGAAGTTGTTTTGGTTATCCCTAGTGCCTGGTACAGTGCTGGGCATATAGCAGGCACTTAATAAATATATGAATGAATGAAACATACAAAGTCACAGCTGTTAAAAAATAAATTTTGTAAAAGAGTATTTATTGACATCAGAAATACGACCAGCTGCAGTCGGAAGTGGCTTGAGGGTCAGTCCCTGACAGAACCTCTGTCATCTCAAGCACACTCTCAGCCATGTATCATAAAAGTTATCACCTATTTCTAAAATCTACACCCCTATATCCTTATCAAAAACTTCATGTAGCCCATACTTAATGTGACAATATGTTAAATTGACAGGAAGTTCTTAAGGTTAAATTATTTAAGAGTGAAAAGCTTCAACTCTTGTTTTTCAAAGTGTGTAAGAAGGTGGTAAAATACATATATGACTTATGGTTTCTCATTTAGATACTTGTAGTTCCTCTCATTATTTTATTTAGGACATAATCTCTTTTTCCCCCCATCAGTAATCAACCACAGATTTCGTGAATAACCAAAATCGGGACAGAAGGAGGCTTACCTACAGATCACTGAAAAGATTCTTACACTACAAATTTCCAAAACTAAGAATATTCTTAAATAAATATTTCTGACAGTCAAGTTTCCTAAAATATGTATTCTATTTAGGCATTAAGATACTATGAGTGCTCTGAAGTTTGAAATTATATTGGTAAGCTTTTAGCAAACTAAAATATGTTTCTTCCAATGTTGTGGCACATGTTACTTAACAGTCTCCCACCTTTCTCTTGGATTTCTTGTAGAGCTTTTTTCCACAGCTCAACAGACTTTTCATATGATCCCAATAGGTAATATTCTTCACCTAGAAAGTTTTTAACCAACAATTAGTCACAGTTAACTACATTACTTTATGAAAATTGATTTCCTTTGTTTTAAAATTCAGTGAATACAGTTTAGCTAGAAAGTATTTTGAAAAACAAATAACTGCAATAAACTAAAAAAATCAAACCTGGTTAACTGTATCATCTATTCTTAGAGTTAGAAAATGTTTTAAGATACTGACCATTGACAGACTTAAGTTCTAAGGTTCGGCTCAAGTGATCTCCAGCACTCTGTAAGTTAGCTTGTATGTGACATAACAAGGATTTGACAGTAGATGCTTCGTGTGTCATCTTTTCAGTTAACTCTCTGTTATCTTCAGAAACTCTGTGACTTAACTGTACTTGATACCACAAAGTTTTCTTATATAATACTCTCCAGAGAACAATCAATCTGTACATAGAATCAGATAATAAAAATGAAATTTCAGACTAATGATGAGTTTAGCCCCCTTCTTAGCCTATTTTTTCACCAATAACATGGATACAAAGTGACCGGGCCTAAAAATAGTACAAAGTCCAAAGATCAAAAGATGCATAATACATATAAAAAACATCATAAATCTTTTATGAACCTGTGGTCATTTTTAACTCAAAATCTTTAAACATCATGTTTGCCCAAGACTAAAAATGTATATTGTATAACATTTGGCATAAAGTTTAAAATTTAAATTTTTCTTTTTTTTTTAGGGACAAGGTCTTATTCGGTTGCCCAGACTGTAGTGTCGAACTTCTGGGTTCAAGCAACCCTCACACCTTAGCCTTCCAAGTAGCTGGGATTATAGATGTGCCCACCAAGCCCAGTTCTAGTTTTTTAATAACTAGAGTTATTAAATTGATAATGCTTAGCTTTAATGGATACAGGGTTTCTTTCTGGAATGATAAAAAATATTCTAGAATTAGTGCTAATAGTGTCAAAGCCTTACAAATACACTGAAAACCATTTAATTAAATACTTTAAAATAGCAAATTTTACCTCAATTTTTTAAAAAGTAAAAACTCTAAAATATTAATAGTACCCTAAAATTAAAGCAAGTTTACCTGTGTCCTGGCTGTTGCACAAGATTTATTACTGGAGGATGAATCTGGAAAGATGAATTCCAGGACCAATTTTCCTGAGAGCCACTGTCTTGAAACATTTGAAAAATAGGTACCACCAATGAATCTTTTTCTGCTGTTCTACTTTCTGCAGCTGAAGTTGCAACAACTTCAGGTTGAAGATTATATATACCATTTAAATTGTCAGCTATCATTTTGAGTAAATGAAAACAGGCTACAAGTTTCTCTGAAAATAACTGACCCTTTTGTTGCTGAATCAGCAAAAGCTTTATGGTATTTGAGGTTAGCTTTATCAAATGTCCTATATCTTGTTTGTATCTTATATCCCAATACTGGATTGATAAACACTGATGGAAAAGTTGAAAGACACAAAGTATCCATGCATTATTTCCTGAGCTCTTGTTTAAAATATGATCAAGTTTGGGAAAAGGACATTTTATAAATTGAAGAATGTAGAAAAAATGAGTGATACAAACTACTGTGTAATTTAACATTAAATTTTTTTCTGTCACATTTTTTGAAATTCCTATAGTCCATGCTGCAAGTAGATTTTTCTGGATGGAATGCAGTTCTATAACAGTTCTATCTGTCTCTTCAGTATCATCCTTTGCATGTATTGTATCAAACATAGAGGCAAATTCCAATCTTCCTTCCTTGACACAACTAAACAGTAGATCATTTTTTTGGTTCCAAAAAGGAAATAAACTGTATGGAAACTGCTTGCCTTCATTACTTTCTTCTGCTTCAAAATCCTAAAATATGAGGGAAAAAGTGATACTTAATGCCATTTAATGCCTTAAAATCACTTTGGTTTTCTTTTCCCTTTAACAAGAGAAAAATAAAAATGTTTCTAGGAATAAAATCAAAATGTATTGTCCAAAGTAAATACAACATGGCTTCTAAGTACCTGAAAATCAGCTGCTTTTTCATTTAACTTCACTGTTTCTTCTGCCTCCAAGAATTTGGGCACAGTACAATCAGCTAAACTTTCATGTCCTTGATGTTTTAACAGGCTAGACCTCAGGGAACTCAGCGATTGCAAGTTCAGCTCTTTGCTCTTTGGCTATAGAAGAAAAAAGATTTCCAAGAGCAAAATATTAACTGCAATCCAGTCGCAAGCAATTAAAAATTCTTTAGATAAATGTACACAATTCAAATCAGCATAGTTTTAAATTTGAAAAGAAAAAGAAAACAACATTGACCAATGATACAAAAAAGCACTGTACCTTAGACAATATTACACTTTGAAAAATTTTCTCAAGCCTCTGGGTTGAATCAAGTAGAAGTGATCTCATGAGTAATGATGGAGACAGTTTATCAAGAAACCGTAGGGTTGTGATCATGTATCCATCAGAAATAATGAGGTAGGGTAACCGTGAGTGTGCTTTTATGGAAAATCTCTGTCTCATAGGGTCACTATCAGAAGCTGATGAGTCTACTGAATTATTTGAATCCTGAAACATCAACTTCTGTGGTCTAATAAACAAACATCAAAATTCAAGAATTAGTAAGATCTTAATGGAAACAATTATACTTTTCCAAAGAAAAGTCAAACTAACAAAAGTTACAAATGATGAAAAAACAAGCAGATGAAACATATACAAAAATATTAAATGTGGCCAGGCACAGTGGCTCATCCCTATAATCTCAGCACTTGGGAGGCCAAGGTGGGCAGACTGCCTGAGCTCATGAGTTTGAAACCAGCTGGAGCAAGAGCAAGACCTCATCTATAAAATATAACCAGGCATTGTGCCATGTACTTGTAGTCCCAGGTACTCAGGAGGCTGAGGCAAGAGGATTGCTTGTGCCCAAGAGTTTGAGATTACTGTGAGCTATGATGCCATGACACTCTACCAAGAGCAACAAAGTGAGACTCTGTCTCAAAAATAAAGAAAATAATGCCTGACATGGATAAGTGTATAAGACATGATATTAAATCAAAAAAAGAAAATAGCAAACAGTATGTCATTTACCTTGTTTTAAAAAAGAAACTAATATTGCTATTATTAAGTAAATATTTTTTAAATTTGGAGGACAATACACCAAAATGTGAATAATTGTTATCTCTAAGATATAGAACTACAAGTCTTTCATTTTTTAAATTACTTAGTTGTATAGCATTTAATTTTCAAGCTTTTTAAAAAAACAATGAATATATATTATACTTTTGTAATCCGAAAAAAACAATCAATTTTGAAAGGCCCTACATTTAACTTTTAAAGGAGAATGGGAGAAAATCTAGTCAATTATGAAATAGACCGTAGAAGTATGAAAAAAATACTTTCACTGGAGGAAGTGACAAATTTTTTCACTAACATTATCTATTGATAAAAATTAAGCATCACTTTTTGCTAATCTTAATCAAGAACACGCCTCATCTCAGTTTCCTTTCCTTAAAGCAAAGAGAATGGATTACAATTTTCCTGTTTTGTAAATAGCTGTTTATGTTTCTAGCCATATATACATGTGATATAATAAACATCAATAATAAATGTTTATGAGCACTTTAAGCCAGAATGGATGATTTGTAATTATGAATTATCTTACTTTATTCCCTCAATCCTAAGAGACAATTGTTGTCACCCTGATTTCATAGTAAAATAGAGTAACTAGCCCAAAGTCATATGAGTATGAATCTTGATCTGACTCCAAAGCCAAATAGCTACTTAATCTCACAATTAAAAATTAAAATGTGGCCAAATTCTAAAGTCATCTATTTATTTTCAGCAATTTTTTCCCTTTTGGAAAAAACATAGATATGTCTATATGTCAAGTTAATTTTGAGTTACTAATTTGTCTAAGTGTCATTATTTTATAACAATAAAAACTATTATACTTTTATTAATTTTTATATCAAAGAAGGTAAATTTTTAGTGGTACTTAATATTTAAATAACTTATACTTACATAGTCACATTGTCAAATTTTCACCAGGATTAAGCCACAAAAAGAAATAGAAGAAAACTATAAATAAGAGACAGATATTGAGATGACAGACTTAAAGAAAGAATAAGACAATTTGAAAGATGAAATTATTTTTTAAAAATATACAGTAAACATAGTAACAAAAGAAAAATTTCCACAAACAAGTTAATATAATTCAAATGTCTCACCGATATGTTATCAGTGGATGAAGAGGAATAAATTCTGCTGGCCCAAATTCTATAGAGCAACCAAATGTAACTAATGTTAACAATTCACCTTGGCAGGTCAATAAAACCAGTGAACCACGTTTTAACATACAAGCCAAGAAAAGACTATCATGTGTCCAGCTGATATCAGCTACCCAGTAAGACCTAAAAAAAGAGACAGCATGTTTAGAAAGGACTCTCTATAATGTCTTTGACAATTTATAATGGCTTATATACCAAGCAAAGGTATGACAGTTTAAAAAATGAGGATAGAAGAATGGATAGTAGGCAACTACCACATACATTTAATTAATTTTACTTCCTAAAACCAAGGAGTTTCTTCATGAACATCTACTCCAACAATATTCCAATTAGAAATGAAGATTCATAAGCAACTACAAAATGAAAATACTGTACTTTTCTAAAGAATTGAGTTTTTAGTAACTCACATTTTAATTAGAATGAATTTTAATACTACTGGAGTTTACAACCAAGATCTACTAGATAGATTTTAAAGCCAGGCCTGTCTTCTCTGTAGCTGGCTAGAATCCCACTCCATAGCTGACTCTCCCTCTTCCCAAAGCTGTCACCATTATTAATGCTTAACTATTTGGTAATATTAATGTTTCATGAGAACAAAAAGTAGCTCCTCCTCATAAAAATGATGGACAATCTAAATCAAACACAGCACTGAATTAAGATCACTGACACTTTTAGAAAGGAACTTGTGGGGACGGAAAGAAAAGAAAGAGTTGCCTGAAAACTGGGGAAATTCAGAAAATGGCATGGATAAGTATTCAGAAATCAGTAGTTTGAAGAGGAAATCATTCTGCTCCATAGTCCCACATAGGTTCTGGTAGTAGCTAATGTGCCATACAAAATCACCATCTATGGGCCAGGAGCAGTGGCTCACTCCTGTAATCCTAGCAATGTGGGAGGCTGAAGTAGGTAGACCGCTTGAGCTCAGTAATTCGAGACCAGCCTGAGCCAGAGTGAGGTCCGGTCTCTAAAAAATAGCTGGGTGTTGTGGCAGGTGTATAATCCCAGCTACTAGGGAGGCTCAGGCAAGAGGATCACTTGAGACTCAAGGATTTGAGGTTGCTGTAAGCTACAATGCCATGGCACTCTACCAAGGACACAAAGTGAGACTCTGTCTCCAAAAAAAAAAAATTGCCATCTATGGCATATGCAGAGGATATCAACTTTGTTTAAAAGGATATAAATATCCCAGCCTCGCTGAGTAAACAGTGGTCTTTCTAATCTAGATTTCATCTTCTCCATTTAAGCCTAATAATTCTCTACTTACTCAAGATTAAATTCCTCCAAAGACAACAAAGAAATGAAAGAGAAAAAAAAATATGTACATGTATCTTCTACCCCTTACCAAATCTTACACAAAGCAACCTTCAAAAATTTTTTGTTTTTTTTTAGAGATAGAATCTCACTCTCCCACATAGGCTGAAGTTAAGTGGCCTGATCATAGTTCACTGTAACCTGGAACTCTGGGGCTTACTTGATTCTCCCACCTTAGGCTCTCTAGCACACTATAGGTACGTGTCACCATGCTTGGATAATTCATTTCTTTTTTGGTAGAGTTAGGGGTCTTACTGTGTTGCCCCTTAAACTCCTGGCCTTAAGTAATCCTCTGGCCTTGGCTTCCCAAAACCAATTGGAATTATAGATGTGAGCCACCACACACCCAGCAGCAACTTTTAGAATTTATCAAGCACAAAAACTGAAGTTGCATTTTCTATCTAAATGATACCTATTGAATAATTAGGACTTAAACTTGTTAGACTATTAGAAAATAGGCTCAGCACCTATAGCTCAAGTGGCTAAGGCACCAGCCACATACCCCTAAGGTGGCAGGTTCGAATCCAGCCCGAGCCCGCCAAAAACAACAATGACGGCTGCAATCAAAAAATAGCCGGGCGTTGTGGCAGGCGCCTGTGGTCCCAGTTACTTGGGAGGCTGAGGCAGGAGATTCACTTGAGCCCAGGAGTTGGAGGTTGTTGTGAGCTGGGATGCCATGGCACTCTAAGACTTTGTCTCAAAACAAAAAGAAAAAAAGAGAGAAAGAAAAGA